TATTGAATTGTTTTCTGGACCAGACTAAGTGGCTTAGACTGCTGGAGACAAGGGAGGCTGCCTCAGGTCTGCTCAGGGGCTGGAGGGGAAGTATTTCCTGGGTTAATGTAAATACTGTGTCTGTGGATCCCCCTTTCAGCAACATTCCATATTTGGTTCCTCCTGGTCTAGTAACCACTTCCTCAGCCAAGGCAGCCCCTCCTCCTCCAGGAGCCAGGGCACATGACAGCAAATGTCCTTTGTGGTCATTACTCACTGCTCACACCCGGAGTGTTTGAGCTGCTAGTTTTGTGCGTTCACTTCCAGCGAAAGCCTTTCTTACCAAAATAAAAGGAAGTTTATATTTATTTCTCCTCACAGTAAGTTTTGATTCACAAAGTACATTAGGCTGATCTACAATATAATGATTTCTCACAAGTGTGAGGAATGTGGGCATGTATAATTTTGAAGCAATATCAGTTGAGTATAGGACAGAGTGCCAGATTCAAATATAGCTCTCAACAAGTCAGTCTTTCTATGAGATGCTTTTAAATAAAATCAAAATCACTTCGATAGAGATGGACTGGGGAAGGAGTATGTCAATGAAAGGCCAGCTTCATACCCCACTTAGCACTGAGAGGAAGGGAGGCTAGGGGAAAATGCCGGGCTCTGAGAGAGGCGGTGAGGCGTGGGTGGGAGGATTGATCTGGTCTGAATTCCAGACACATTCCCGGCTGCTATTTTGCCCTCATCATCAGCTCAAATGTTTTCATGAGATCCTGTCTGACAATCCTAAAGAAAAGAGGATAATTTCATGTGAGTCTACTCCACAAGAAACAATTAAAATAGTTACATACTTATTTATTCACTCCTCCCCCTTTTTTGGTTTGTTTGAAATTAAACTTATTTTAAATAGCTACCACACATTCCTGACAAAAACCTCAGCACAGAGGAGTATGACAGTAGGAAGTGTTTCGGTCCCCCAAGCTGAACCGACATCTATCAAGCGTGCTCTCAGGAGGCATCACTGTTAGAGCCTCTCGCTCTCCTTCCATAAAGACTCTACACACACACCAGCAAACAACTGTCTCCATCTGTCACCCGAATAGCTCTCCATTATCAACTCGAGCCATAGTCTGCTATACACTCTGCTTTCCCCAATCAACCATGTATCTTTGAGGTGTTTTTATATCTGAATGTAAATATCTGCTCACTTTGCAAATAGCTGCATAGCAGTTACATAGTGATAGACCTTGAGGTAGTTTTCCATCTTTGCTCTTATAAACCAACAAATAGCCTTATATTTGCATTACTTTCCATATGTTCAAGATGTAGCAAAATAAATGGTTAGAGATGGAATTGCTGATCAAAGACTGAGCATTGCCATTTTGATGGACAGCGCCAAATGTCCCTCCTTAAAGGTTTTACCAATGTAAACTCCCACCAATGTGTGAGAGTGCATTATCATACATCTTGGGTTCTTCCCGTTTTATAAGTGAAAATGATGTGTCACACACTTTTTTCTTTTCATATTATGAGGCCAGACTGCGGTAATAAATCGGCCCAGAGTGTATGTTGGCTCAAACACAGAAGTTTATATCTCACTAATGTAACAACAGGCAGGTGGTGAGCCTCAGGGAGGGACTCCCCTCCAGGGGTGAATCGGGGACCCTGGCTCCCAGACTTCAATATGGTTCCTCTCTTTTCTTTCCTGTGAAGATTAACTCACCTCAATTATTCCTTAAGAAGAGTGGCCAGTTGTGATCTTCTAGACGACTAAGGCATGGAGGTTGGTGAGATTTGCTACAGTGCCCACGTCTCTAACTGGCCTCTTACTAATATTCTCTACTGCCCAGGAATGAGTATCTTACCTCAGGCCACCTCCTCCCATATTTTAAGGGGGTAACCAAGTAATTGAGAGCCATTGCTAAACTATAGCAGCCGTCAATTTCCAAATAATGCCACCATGTAATCCAACCCTTTAGGGAACTGAGCCAGAATTCCCCTCTTCCCCGCCTTTATTAGTTAGTTAATCAGAATTCTATGATGGCGTGGCTTTAGGTTTAGGGAGAGGTGATGGTGCCATGGAGGAAGGGAACAAATGGCAGTTTAGACTTACTGTTCCTGTCCTTGACTAAGTAGTTTGGATTTCTTCCAGTCTGGTTCCAAATGCAGCACTCTAAGAGCATAAGGGGTTGTGGTTGTATGTTCCCTAACTCTGACTCTGAATCCTTACATCCAGCGACAAGCCGCACAGCCACCTAGTGCTAAGGGCCTGCCAGGAAGAAGATGCAAATCTGGATTTTAGAACATGAGTTCATGCAAAGTCACTGTCAGAGAAGTTATCCGTGGTCCCTTTTGGAGCATGTGGCCCAATAGAAGTCCTAGAGAGAGTTGAGCTGTGGCCTTCACTTTAGGCTGGGATAGAGGAATTTATAACAAACACAGTCTACAAGGTGGACAACTAGAACACAGGAGACATATCTAGGTGACTGCTGTCAGATATTGAACAGCAGGCCCTACAGGACTGTGATTCCTGGGAAAGTGGCAGAAGCTAAAGGAGCCCTGTGATTGGTTTGGATTTCTGCCTGAATGGCCTCGTTCAAACATGGTGCACAAGAGGAGGTCACAAGCAGAGGGAGGTGGATGTACTGAGTTGAAGAGAGAGTGATCTGAGTTTGGGAAGATGAAGGAGGATGGAATGTGAGGGGCAGAGTTTCAGAGAGGAAGGAAAGCTGGAGAAAGAGCTCCAGGAATCTACATTGTGTCCCTTTGAAGCTGAACTGCATGGAGTGGATTGACAAGGCCAGAGGAGACGGATCCAGGAGCTTTGTCTGAAGCGTTCCCAGAGGACAAAGAATTTGAGTTCGTCAGCCAAAGCACAGAGTTCCTGTGAATTCCTGGCATTCAGTGGCCACAAGAAAGACCTTACCTGAGTAGTGACTAGCCCTAGACTAGTACTACTCTAACCCATGATAAAGCTTAAAGAGAAACCCCAAAGAATTAAGATGATCTGTAAGTAAATTAACTGCCTGTTATAATACAACTAGTGGTCCGGTGCACAAAAATTTGTGCACTTGGTTGGGGGGGGTGGTCCCTCAGCCCGGTCTGTGCCGTCTCGCAGTCTGGGACCCCTCAGGGGATGCCCGCCTGCTGGCTTAGGCCCCA